TAAAGCAAAGTGAAATGAGGAGAACCAAGAGAATGTTGCATACCGCAACAGCGATATTGTTTGAAGAACAAATGTGAACTAAGTTACTCTAAATATTATAAATACTCAAATCAACTACAAAGGACCTATGAAGGAAGCTTCTATCCACCTCCAGAGAAAGAACTGGTAAACAGATATATGTATGCATAGCATGGTTCTACATATATGTGTACATCTGTGTCTATACATACATATATACATACACATATACAAATATAAAATCTGTTTCAAATGGTGGTCTTCTCTAGTTTGAGGTGGGGAGAGAGGAGAAAGGGAAGGAGACAGTTTGGAACTTAAAATATAATTAAAAAAAAAACACTAGACCTGTAATAGCTCTGCTATTTACTACTTGCATAATTATAATTGGTTGGGGTAGTAATTAACAAGTGCTGCTATGAATATATATAGTATTATTTAGATATATATTATAAATATATTTTAGGCTTTTTCATTTTTTTTTACTTCCTTGGAATATATACACACATATGTATATGTACATATTCATATGTATGTACATACATATATGTGTGTGTGTATATATATATATACATCTATATATATACATGTGTATGTAAGTATGCCCAGCAGAGTGATTACTAGATCAAAATGTAAAAACAATTTAGTCAATTTTTCTTAATTCCAAAACAATTGGCCCAATTCACACTCTACCAACAGTGTCAAGTGACATCAAAAAAAGAAAACATCAGCGAAATCTTAAAAAGAAAAAAAAAAGTGTCTTGGTTTGTCTGTGTTCCCATAGCCTCCTGTTATTGACTGTTTTCTTCTTTTAACATCTCTGTTACTTTCTGGGATGTGAAGTGACACCTGGGATTTTATAATGTGTGTTTCTTCATATGGTTGATGTTATTGAGTATCTTAGACTTAAGTGCTAGAAGGGACATTAGAGGTAATTTAGTCCAACCCCTTCATTTTAGAGAGGAGAAAGCTGGAGCCAAGGGACTGTAACGATTTGCCCAAAGTCACACATACAGTACGTGACAGACCTGCAATGTAACCCAAGTCATCTGACTCCAAATTTAACACTCTCTTCATTTTAGCTCATTGGCATTACTTCTCTTGAAGACAATTTGCTCAGATCTTTTGACTAGTTATTAGGGAATGGCTCCTAGTCTTATATGTTTATGTCAACTTGTTATAAATCTTAGATATCAGACTTTGATGCAAATCTCTCCCCCTCCCACCCCCCCTCATGCTTCTTTTCTTAAGTCTAGCTCCACTGATTCTGTTTATGCAAAAGCTACTCACTGTTTTCCCTGAAGAAGCTGGTGGCACATAAATAGAGTGATGGACCTAGAGTGAGGAAGATCTCCATTCAAATGTGACAGGACAGACTTCCTAGCTGTGACCCTGGGCAAGTCATTGAACTTCTTCCATTTCCTCAGATGTAAAGTGGGGATAAAAATAGCACCTACATCCCAGGGAGCTCTGCAGAGCTTTCAAGCACTCTGTAGTAATGACTAAAAAGGTAGTCAAGAAAGGTTGGAAAGTATTCTGATTCAGAGACAAGAAACCTGGGCTCTAGTCTCGAGTGCCACTAATTGTCTTCTCATCTGTCAGATGATTATTCAAATTTGTATAGAGCTGTAAAACACTTTTTTTCTCACAATGATCAGGCAAGGTGCTTATCATACCTAATATTATCCACATTTTGCTGATAATGAAACTAAGGTTTGAAGAGTTGAAGAGTTGGGGCTAGCATTTACACTTGATCCCTTTAAGCTCTATAAGTCAATTCATTTTGGTTCAATTGTAAGCTTTTGTTATCTTACAAAGACAGTGTCTGTTCCATCAAATCAGACTTGCCATTGGTCAAGTAGTTATTAAGATGGCTTAAAACACTAATTGACCATCTTTAAGATCAGTAGATTTCTCTCTCTGATTATTGTTCAAAAGACATGTCTGTACAAAAATCTTTTTCTCTTAATGGCTTTTTTCAACCCCAGATTACACATTGAAAGGCTGAAGATGAAGGATCCAGAAAACTTAGCACATTCTGCCTGTGTCCCCTACATGTTGGCAAATGGGACTGTCATTTTCTCAGTGTCAGTACATGTTCAGAATGAGCAAAGATACAGACTGCAATGCATGTGAAACTTTGGCAGCTACTCTCCTAGCTCTTCTGTATCCACTAGGTTAGGTATCTACACGCAGAAAAGGCTGTACTGGGGCAGCTAGGTGGCACAGGGGATAGAGTACAGGCCCTGGAGTCAGGAGGACCTGAGTTCAAATCCAACCTCAGACACATAACACTTACTAGCTGTGTGACTCTGGGCAAATCACTTAACCCCAACTGCCTCACCAAAAAAAAAAGAGAGAAAAGCAAAAAAAAAGGCAGTACTCACACGCTTCTGGTGCAGAGGCCTGGGAACAGTTGGGTTGAGTAAAAGGAAGTAGCAGGGCTAGAAAACATTTTCAAATATGACTTGATAATGTGCTACTTTTCTACAGAAGAAAAAGCCTTCAAATTCTCTATCCTCTCAGACTCTTAAGGAAATTGTACTGAAGAATAATTTCTATCATCCAAAAGCCAAGAACCCAGATATAGAAAAGGTGATGGATTTCCCCATGAAAGGACAAACTATCTCATTATGACAAGCTATTTCGGTTATTCTAGATCTAAAAATACATATGTAAACCCAAGCAACAAAAGGTCTTTTGAACTATAACTGTCTCCAGTTTAAGCAGAAAGAAAACATGAAAATCTGGATTTACAAAACAAACTAGAAGGTGACTTCATTTTACAAAAGTTCCTTTACACTTCCTTTAGATTGTGAAATCCCCAAATATATTTAAAGTAGGGCTCAATTTTCAAAATTAGGATTTAAATGCAAATTTTTAGAAACAGCCTTGCACAATGCAAAGCAAATCAGTAGCTGGGAGAAGCAGCTTTGACTTTGGGGATAATGATCTAAAGGAATCACAGTGAAATAACTAGTATGCTGTTGAAGTTATATAGTAAAGTCAATAGCAAAACATCGATTGCTGCTATAATCTAATAGGTATAAAAAGGCAGACTTAATTAGCACAAGAATGATCAGTTCCTTTCTTGGATCCATACCATAGGAGACTACAGGATACTTACATGGCACTCCTCCCAATCATACTTCATTGTTCCAGTTCTCAGATGACCTATATTTAGCCTCACTAGTTACACACAGGTCTTGCCTCAAGCAACATTCTCATTTCTCAAGTCTTTGTTTTGATTAGCAAAGAACAACAACAAAAACAATAATAAAAAAAAATTTTTTTGCAACATGACCATAGACTAGTCAATAAAGTAAGGGTTGAAAACACAACACCCAGTAGTTTAGTTACTCAATGCATTCATTAACCTGAGGTAACTCCAACCTCTTAAAAAAAATCTGAGCCCACTAAATGGGGCTGATCTAAAAAGGAACCAAAAGACAATGTTTTCAAGTTGAGAGCATGCTGCGGAAAATATTGGCAGGTTTTCCATGTGCAAATCTGAATTTAGGAGGGGCCTTAAATACTCCCCTTGTAGGATTTGTTGCAAACATAAGAGCAGTTAGGCAAGTAAGCAAAATCAGGAAGTAAAATTGATTATAATTGTTAAGTAAAACCAGTAAGTCAAACCTTGTGCGGTGGCTGAATGATACAAAAAAAAATACCATGACAAAAGCCCTAAACCTTAAAAGGTAACTAAAGATAAATGATTTAAAATGTTTAATTTTAAAGATTATTATAAATTGTGAACAGAATCTGAATAGTTTAAACTGTAGGTTCCATCATGTGTCTACAACTTGATCACATCTGTCTGACTAGTTTGCACTTAATTTAGGGAACTGACGTGACTTAATTGCCATAGCAACCAAAAAGATTTTTTTTTTTTTGGTCAGGGGTCCTGCAAATAACGTTCCCTGCACTCCGTGTCCTGCAGTGGTTTGGTGAGCCCAGAGCGGGGAGGGTTCACCTTCCAATCTCACCCTGGAAAGCCAGGTCTGGCTTGTCTCCCACCCCAACACCCTCCGAACTGACAGCAGGGCTGGTACCTCATCCCACCCAAACTCCTTCCTCCTCCTGTCTTCACCCACTGGTCCATCCTGTTCCATTATGCCCTAGAAACACAATCTTCGATGCAGGGATGCTCTCTCTCCCTGCCCAGAGCCACGGCCTCCCCAACAGAGCCCACAGCGAAGATCTCATGCCTCACCACAACCAGGGCCACTACTCCCACTTCCACGTGACCAGGACCTCGTTCCGCTCTCCACCAATCAGGAGCCACCACCGCCCCGAACCTGGTCTCGGACTCTCCAGTTTCGAGGACTTAGCTTTCCGCTCCCCGCCCTCAACCCCTCCCCTTTCCCGCCCCGCCCCATCGGCTCCTCCCACTTGCCCCCAACTCCCCCCGCCCCCCATCCCTCCTCCTCCTCCTCCCTTGGCTCATCCCCACCCGCTCCGCCCGCCTCGGAGACCCCCCTCCGGCCTCGAGCCGCTCTCGCGAGACCTGCGCTTCCTCTCCCCCCTCCCCCCCACGCTGCGGCCGCCTCCCCCTCCCGTCCCACCCCCTACCCCCCTTCCCCCAATCTCTCTTACTCTCTGGCTCTCCTCCCTCCCTCCCTCCCCCCTCCACCCTCTGGGCCGGATCTTGTCTCGCTGAGGCGGAGGAGGAGAAGGAGGAGGAGGCGGAGGTTCGGCCTGCGCAGTGAGATGTTTGTCCGTCGCCGCCGCCGCCGCCATCGCGGAGGAGCGCGATAGAGGGAGCCCAGCCGCGAGTGACGGGCCCGGGGGGAGGGGGAGCCCCGCGGAGCCGCCGCGCCAGCGCAGCCCCCGAGGGAAGGCCGAGCCGCAGCCGCAGCCGCCGGGGCCGGGCCGGGGCCGGGGCCGGAGCCGGAGCCGGAGCCAGAGCCGCCTAAGCAGGAGCCGGGGCCGCGGGGGTCCGGCCGCCTCCCCCACCCCCGTCGTCCCCTTCCCCCCTTTCCCAGCCCGCGGGGTTCGCCGCCCCATCCCGGGAGCCTCCGGTCTCTCCAGCCCGCCCGCCTTCGATGTGACACGGGCGCCCCGGAGCGCGACCTGAAGCCGCCGCCGGAGCAGCAGCAGGAGGAGGAGGAGCAGGGGAGGAGGAGGAGAACCATGTCGAACCTGAGCAAAGGGACGGGCAGCCGGAAGGACACCAAGATGCGGATCCGGGCCTTTCCGGTGAGTCTCTCCTCCGCGCCCGGGGCCGAGGGGCCGGGGGCCCGGCCGAGAGACGCACTCGAGGCCCCGGGCTGAACTCCCCCCAACAGGCCGCAGGGCCGGCCGCTCCCCCCTCCCCCCACCGCCGCCTCTCGGGCCGCGGGGCTGGAACCTTCCCGGCAACGGGGGAAGCTCGGGGGGCGCCCCGCGGGGGCGGGCAGCGACGAGGGGGCGCCCCCGGGCGGTCCTGCTGCCTCTGCGCCTCTTCCCAACAGCCCATTCCGCTGGGCCCGGGCCCGGGCCGGGCGGCGGCGGCCCAGCTGGCGCCCGGGTGCCTGCGCGCCCCCCGCCTGCAGGCCCCGGGGGCCCGGCCGCTCGCCTCTGCCGCCCCCTGCCCCTTCTCGCGGGGGCTCCCAGCGGCGCCTCATTGTAAGCCTGGGCGCGTGTATGCGTGTGTCTGCGTGCGTGTGAGTGTGAACTTTGAAAGGGACATTGCTCAGCTCTTAAAAGTCCTAAAGAGGTTGCCGAGCTTGGGGACCCACGAAAGGAGCGGTCCCGTCTCCCACAAAATGAGCTTTGTGGTCGGTCAAGCTGCCCGGATGCCGTGACAGGTGTCCCGGTTGGTGCTGGGTGATCCCTCCCGGTCGGTCACGTTGTAGGTCCTCGGAGCATCTCTTCTTCCCAGGCACTGGACGGACTCGGGCCATTTTCAACTTCGCTCTGCCCTCGCTCGCAGCCGCCTTGGGGAGGAGGCCGGGAGGGGAAGGTGGGCTTCCTGCACACTGCCCAGGCCACCCTGGAAGTCCCGTCCCCTCCGGGAGAGCTTCACACGAAAGATGCCGAGCAGCACTGGACGTGCTCTGGGGGAGGAGGGGGGAGTGTCATTTGGTTTGTGGGTTTCACTGTACTCTTTTGAGGTCGCATTTGATTGAGCTAGTGACGAACCTGATGTAATAACAGACTACGTATAACTTGCTTATGTGAAGATAATATTAACAGGCAGAAATTTTTCTGAACACAAAACTATAATAACAAAACAGTAATTATAATCAAAACTCTAGCAGAGGAATTAAGAATTGTGTCTGTAAAAGGTGTGTGCAGATATGCAGAGTAACAAAGGAGAGAAATTGTTAATTTTTGTAAGTTTCCAAAAGAAAAAAACTTACTATATGACAGGCTATTAACTATTATTAACTTACTTTACTATGTAACATGATAGTAGCATGGTATTAGTTATAAGTACCTTTTTTTTATTTTCATAGACAAAGCTAGTATTTTAGATTTAGGAGAAGTGCTGGAGAACTTGTGAACTTTTGATCCTGAACTTGTAAAATGCAGTGTATGTAGTTTAAAAATTGGTTATGGATGGGGAGAGCAGCGGAGATAAGATCTCTGTATGTAAAGATTAGGGGATTAGGTTGCATTTATAGTACTTTATAAAGTGTATTTCAATCTTGTGAGGTTGGTAGGGCAAGTATTATCCCCATTTTACAGATGAGAAAACGCAAGTTTCGCAGAGATTGTGACATTCTCAGTGAAGGAGAGCTATTTATTGTGGATAAAAGGAGTTTTGCTGACTGACAGTTCATTAAGTGAGTATGAGAGCCTTTTTTTAGTGTGTGGAATAAGATCGTGGTTATACTGATAAATTGTAAAGGGAGCTCAGAGAGCTTTTAGTCTAAGTTTCTATTACAGATGAGGAAACCAAGGCCCAGAGAGAGCGGAAGCCAATGGCCCAAGTTCACACAGGTCCAAGTGGCAAAGCAGGGATTTGAACCCAGATCTTCTAACTCTAAACATCCACTCTCTGCTACTTCACTTAACAGTCTTTGATGAAATTCATTAGCACCTTTTCCTTGAGGAAAAAAAATGGTAGTGTACTAACATTTCCATTGATGAGATCTTAAGTTCAGTAAGGTACTGCATTTAAATGCATATGAAAATTTTATCAATTTTTTTTTCCCGCAACAAGTCCACAGGATTGAGTTGTAGGAAAGCAGTTGCTTTTTAATTTTAATATAAAAGTTATTACAATATGTCAGATTTTTTAGGAAATAATGCAGTTTTCCAGCACTTACCAGTGACTGTCACATTGAACATTTTGAATTATTAACTTATATTCAGATTTATTATTAAAATACAGCAGCATTCATATTGATAACAGATCTATGTTAGGGTAAAACTTGGTTTGGTGTTCCTACTTCCCTTTTGCCTCTGGTACCTTTGACCATGTTCAAGTCTTTAACCTACTCCTTAGTTTTACTTTACCACTCCTCAGGAAATTTCAGCTATTGCATTAGCTGTAGAGTGTGAACTTTGGTAATTAGCAAGATTTTTGCCTTGTTGTTTGAAACAAAAGTTATTGCAGCATAATGGTCTCATGCTGGTAAATAAAGATATTCTTTAAGTGTCTGCTGTTCGATAGATTCTGGGGTTACAAAGACAAAAATGAAACAAATCCCTTGCTCAGAGAGTTTACCATGTAGCTAGAGGAGACAACATTTGCATTATAGACATATACAAATTAGATTTTTTAAAAAACGACTATTTTTGGGGGGAAGACATTAAATGTAACTTTGGGATCGGGAAAAACTTTAGCAGTTAAACTGAGGCTTGAAGGAAGCTAGAGATTCTGAGAGTCAGAGATGAGGGGGGAGGGTGTATGCTACAGATGGGTATTAGCCAATGCAAAAGCTTGAAAATAGGAGTTGGGGTTCCTTGTGTGATGGAACAGCAAGAAGGCTGGGTTAGCTGGACTGTAGTTACTTTAAGGAGAGTAATGTGAAATAAGGCTGTAAAAGGTTAGATGGGGCTAGGTTGCAAAGAGCTTTAAAGAAGATTTTATTCTTTGTCCTTCAAGTAACTAGGAGCCTTTGGAGTTTATTCAAGTATATCCCAGTTGTACTTCATAAATACTCAGTTCCCATACACAATGACTTGTAATTTAAAAGAGTGTTAAAATACTTACATTTTTCTTTATCAATATCTAGTTCTTAAGTTCTTTGCTAGTGTGGTACCTGTGGCAACACATTAATTACAGATAAGTACCTCTATTGTAATGTATTTCACTGATGACTTATTCATCTTCGGGTATAAAAATTCGACAGACCTTGCTTTTCTTTTCTTCTTGGTTAGCAGCTTTTAGTACTTGAAAAGATAAAGTTGGAGTCACTAGTCAGAAGTAGGGAATGAATAGAAATACCTATAGAGAAAACATTTATGGCCTTATTTAAATCTGTCAACTTAAGTTTGACTGCAGTCATTGTAAATTAATAGAAATTAGGGCTTTAAGTTCTCAGAATTTAATTTCAAATTCTTAACTTCACTACTCCTAGAGAAATGAGATGTAAAAAGATTAATCAGAAAAGTTTTTTTTCACAATTTTTAGTTTTTTCATTTCGACATGTCTGATATTTAAACTTAGTTTCCAGCTCAAAGGCTGATTTATGCTAGAATTTTCAAAACGACTGTGAAGATATTTTCTCTGTGCCATTAGTAAAAGGAGGCTCTTTCCTATTTTTGAGCATATATAAATGCGCTTTACACCAAGTCCTCCTGATGTTTCATTATGTCATGGTGGTGACCTAGAGTTTTTGAATGTTGTGCCAGCAGGGCACAAACTATGCTATATCATGTCAAGCCTCAGAAAGGCTTTAAATTGGGCCAAGATACTGGGTATATCTATTTTCTGAGGACTGACCTAGCTAAGTTCAGAGAGGCTCATCTCCAGATTAGGCTCAGGAAGATTAATTTTTTGGGTATAGTAGCTCTTGTAGACTGTATCTACACAATTACAGAGGAGTTGTGATCTGCGTTGGTGGAGGGAATACCTACACGGATGAAATCACAGATCCTTGCATATTAAAGTATTATAAATGACTTTCAGCATTCAGAACATGACTCCAAAAATTAATGTTTCTTCATTTTGATACTACTTGAGTTTTTAAGCAGTTGTTAGTTTGCCAAAAACTGCTTTTCTCTAAGATGAAAAAATGTTTCTGTTTTGAATAAAGTATTTTTAAAAAAACTTCATGTCTTCTTGTTAAAGTATTTATAAACCTTTTTTTTTGTACTTATAGTAAATGCCAGGAAAGCTTGTGTAGATAGTTGTTCTGTATAGGCACGTAACTATAGAAGTTTAGGGAACCAGAACACGGCTAAAAGTGTTTATAGCACTTCCTTTTCAAATTGATGTTTCCCTCTACTGAACCTTTTAGACACCCTTGCTAAGCTTTTCCCATATGTAGGGTCTGTCCTTCAGACAGTTTGTCTGGGAAACTACTCATTGTTAAATGTCTGCCAGCCTTTCCTCAGGGGTTAGGTCCCTGGGATGATGCTACCTGGGCTGTTTATATGATGCTTGATTAATATGTGTAACTTTAGAGGACAGATAGAACAATATTTTCTTGTCTTCAAGTTGTCTTATCTAGGTTTTATGCTAGGAGGCCAACAAAGAGGGTGCTGTCATCTTTAGGTTTTTCAAAGTAAGGACACCAATTACATGTGCTAGGGACTTGGTATCATATTAGTTAATAGTCAAGACTATGCAAGTCCAAATAGAGAAAGTTCTTGGATTATTATGTCTTTGATTTGAGTTCATCACTTTAGGCTTAATTAGGCAAGATACTGCCAATAGCTGTGGGTATGAGGGAAGAACTTATTAAGCTAAAAGGCCTAGAAATGGTAAAAGAAAAAAGCTTCCAAGAGTGATGAGTGGGGTACAGGCCTCAGCACTAACTTTTCAACTTTTGTGTCTCTCCTCAGATGGAGAGATAGTTCTGCTGTCCATACAGCAAAATTTCTCCTTTAAAGTAACAGCTGTAGCAATAGCTACCTGGAAGGAGAAGAAAGAAATTCCTAGAGCAGGTCAATAATATATAATGTTTATAAATGAGAATCAACTAGATAATAGATACATAGCTTTTAAAAAATTACGGAGCATGCTTTTTCAAATCCAGTTGATGTGAAAATATAATTTTTCAATCAGTTCTAAATCTTTTAAATTTTCAATTTTACTTAAG